CCGTGAGCACAGCCGTAAGCGCATCCGTGAGCACAGCCGTGAGCACATCCGTGAGCACAGCCGTGAGCACATCCGTGAGCACAGCCGTGAGCGTGGCCTGCAAGCATAGCCCGTGAGCATAGTCAGGAGCACAGTCAGTCAGGAGCTGAGAGCACAGTCAGCAGCACAGCCTGAGCGCACAGTCGGGAGCACAGCCTTCATGCACAGCCTGCGAGCTCAGCCCTGAGCACAGATGAGAGCACAGTCAGGAGCACAGTCAGGAGCACAGTCAGGAGCACAGTCAGGAGCACAGTCAGGAGCACAGTCAGGAGCACGGTGGTTATAAGGCAGTGACGGGAGAGGCAGAGCTGGCAGAGTGAGCCGCTGTCACCCCGTCTGCCTGTTGGACACGGCGGTGTGTTAGGGCAGGCGTGCCTGAGAGAGGTCATCTCTCGCTGGAGCATGGCCGGTGGTGCTCTCCCACTCCAGCCCAGCAGCAGCTTTGATCGGCGGTGGAGAGAGCCGAAGTGCGCCGTGCCCCGTCCCTGCAGCCCCTGGCCCTCCTGCTCTGCCCTCAGCCCCCTGCCTGGTGGCCAGTGCTCAGCGCTCAGCTGTGGCCGTAGTGCAGGGTCAGGGCTGAGAGATCATAGAATCATAGAATCACAGAATGGGTTAGATTGGAAGGGACCTTAAAGCCCCCCCAGTGCCCCCCCCTGCCCTGGGCAGGGCCACCTCCCCCCAGCCCAGGTTGCTCCAAGCCCCGTCCAACCTGGCCTTGAATACCTCCAGGGATGGGGCAGCCACAGCTTCTCGGGGCAACCTGCCCCAGGGGATCACCACCCGCACAGGAATGAATTTCTTCCCATTATCTCATCTCAATCTCCCCTCTGTCAGTGTCAAACCATTCCCCCTCGTCCCACAGCTCCCCTCCCTGACCCAGAGTCCCTCCCCAGCTCTCCTGGAGCCCCTTTAGGCACTGGAAGGGGCTTTGAGCTCTCCCCTTTTTCGCCTTCTCTTCTCCAGGCTGAACCCCCCCAACTCTCCCAGCCTGTCCTCCCAGCAGAGGGGCTCCAGCCCTCCCAGCATCTCCGGGGCCTCCTCTGGCCCCGCTCCAACAGGTCCATGTCTTTCCCATGTTGGGGGCTCCAGAGCTGGACACAGTGCTCCAGGTGGGGTCTCCCCAGAGCGGAGCAGAGGGGCAGATGCTGGTACCACAGCCTCTCTGCGTGGGGAGAGTGGGGGATGTTGGGGGTGCACAGGGTGGATGGGTTGTTCTGCTCTTGGATATGGTCCCTGAGCTCAGGGCGCGTAATGGGAGGAGCGAGAAGGATCTCTGTTTTAAAACGCAGTTGGTTGTGATTGTAATGCTTTTCTTTCTGGCTGTGCATGTGCATTAACAGGGATTAATTCTCCATACAAGGAAAATTAATTCCTTTTTCTTAGGTGCATTGGTGACTGACACGCTGCCGCGCAGAAGGCTGCGAGCTGGGAGGGGTGTGGAGGGTCATCTGGCAGCGAGCATTTCCCGCTGCCGCTGTCACTATTCTCAGAGCTCACGTCACCACAGGTTCCCCTTCTGCGGGATCGCATCATTTCCCTTTTTAGAGATGTTTTCTCCGAGGAAAGCGTTCCCCAAAGCGCGGTCAGGTTACAGGAGGGGCGGCTGCACTGAGCTGAGAGCTGGCGCACAGATGGCTCTTTGGGATCACGGAGGGATGTTTTTCCTTTGAGGACTCTATTTCGTGGTGGATACCTGCCAGAGGTGGTTTAAAACCAAAAAGCAATTAGATAAATTCATCGATAAATCACGCTAGATTCAGCAATGAGTACCGAAAAGAGGATGTGGATGGCGGGGAGCCCTTTGGGTTGCAGCGCCGAGGCTGGCTGTGGTCTTTGATGGTGCTTCCACTTACACTGGGGCCACGGCACTGCTCAGTGGTTTTGGGGACGTGTGGGCTCCCAAGCTTTCTGTTCGTAAGCGGGAGCAGGACGTACCTGCGGTCCCTGAGCACCAGCTCTGCCCTTCGCCAGGGAAGTGCGTCCGTCGGTGAGAGCTCTTCATGTGGAGCCTCTGGGGCAGAGCTTGTGCCGGCCGCCGGGCTGGGACCACAGTGCACAGGGAGCTAATGAAGTCTGGGACTGCAGCGGGCAGGATTTGGTCCTCCGGACACTTGCGTTCTCTTTATTTAGCTGTTTAGAGAAGGGCTACACTGCTGAGCCAGACTGTTCCGCAGGAGAGGGAGTTGTGAGAGTGTTGATCTCACAAAACGCCCGGGGGCACAGTCTGCAGTAAAAGCCTTTTTATCAGTTAGGAGAAGCCAGCAAAAACATCTGAAATCAGTAAAATGTTTTAAAAAGGCTTTGAACTTGAATGGCGAGGAAGATGATGGTGAAGTTAGGAACCCCTGAAAATAAGCGCTGAGACTTAGAGGAGTCGCTCTTTTGTCACCTCTCCCGGTGAGAGGGCACTGTGCGGGGGTTCCTCCGGGACCCGTCGTCGTTTGCCACAGGAGCCGCTGGCGGGGCAGGAGC